TGTGTGTGTGTGTGTGTGTGTGTGTGTGTGTGTGTGTGACACTCGTTTACTCCTCTGGGAACAGGTCTATTTTCCATGTTTTTTTTAAGGCCTAAGGGTTTTATGTATATGTATATATATATATATATATATAAATGCTTTCATAACCATTTATAAAGTTCTCATTCAAGTGAAATATTGTTTAGATATTTATAAATGCACTTGTGCGCATGCACAAACATGCAAATCATCAGCATGCACAGGCGAGTATTTCATTAAAAATGAACATCACCATCTGGAGGAGTGTGAAGATGAAACTTTGAAAATAGATTTGGACTCTAATTCATCTGCGTCACTTTGTGATAAACATTTAGAATAACAAGAGGAAAACTTGTATGAACTTACCCCGATGATGACAGTGTCATCTCCTTGAAATGTGGGGATATATTTGTCCCCTCGGAGGGTTTCGGTGTGGTTCAGGGGTCTGAAGCGACACAAAACCCTGATGTTGCATTCTGCGCTGACATCAGCCATCCTGCGATGCTGCACTAAAGCCGCCTTCAGACACAACAGTGCGTTTCTCTTCTGATCTGTGAATAATTCGCGCGGTCCTCTGTAGATGAATGGCGTTTATAGATAGGCGAAACAATCAGGAAGAATGATCCAAATGAATCTGCTGCGAATCAAAGCATCGTCGTTAAAGCCTGCGAGGCGAGTGGAGGATAGTAAAGTAACGAGTGTCTCTGTGAATCGCTCTCTCGAGGTTGTGCTGTGAGTGTTAGTGCTGCAGAAGAGCAGCGTGATGCTGCAGGGATACGGACACACACGCGCTTGGCACCGCGGCGCTCTGATTGGCCGGTATTTGACAGGGGGCGGGGCGTGTGCTGTGCTGACTCTCGCATCAGCACCGCTGCTTAGCATGATGGCAACTTATATTTTAGACAAAAATGAGACGAGCACCAAGAAATCTTTGTGTATTATTACTGATCCTTAAACCCTTTCAAAATCGGCAAAGAAAAACATAAGGCAGCCTAAGGTGGTTTGCTGGTCTTTGCTGGTTTACAGTGAACTGGCTGGTTTCCCAACCTGACCAGCTGACAACTGCTCCAAATCCTTCTAAACAGACCGGCCAGGACACATAGTTAAATAATAATAACAATAATAACAATTATAATAACAATAATAATAATAATGATGATGATAATGATGATAATAATTATAACAACAACAACAATAATAATAATAGTTGTATTATTATAATTATTATCGTTATTATGATGATGATGATGATGATGATGATAATGATAATAACAACAACAATAATAATAACGATAATGACAACAACAACAACAATAATAATAATAATAATAATGATGATAA